TTGTGGCGAATGCCTTTGCGAGTCGATTTGCTCTAATTTAATACTGGTTTATACGGTTGTTAGTGGCAATTTTTAGTGTGCCGATCAGAAAATAGATGGAGACTCTGTCTTCATCTTACTTGTATCAAACCCAGTTCCGGGAAGGAACCAAAAATGGGTTGTGTTTTCTCTCTGCGGGACCTAACCGTGCTGATGAGCTGTGATACAGCGAAACGCGTCCACGGATGGTCCCGCAGAGATAAAACACTTCTCAATCGGTCCTTAATTGGGCCGTTACCTAATTAAAATCAAATGTTTTTCGGTACCAACCGACTTAACTTCTGGTTGGCAACTAGAATAGCTATTCTCGCAATTGTGGCGAATGCCTTTGCGAGTCGATTTGCTCTAATTTAATACTGGTTTATACGGTTGTTAGTGGCAATTTTTAGTGTGCCGATCAGAAAATAGATGGAGACTCTGTCTTCATCTTACTTGTTTCTATATTCTTCAGGCCCTATACTTTCGATTAGTATGAAATTTGTTCGTTAAACAAGTGAGTGCAATGCCTTCAACAATTAAAATTTTCAAATTATTTATTAATAATAGTCTGGCCAGGATTTTTTTAGCCAACCCACACATGATATATTTTTTAACATACCAACTTTGATATAAAATAATTTTTATCCAATAAACAGATGGGTGCAGATCCTCTTCTATTCGGATCTTAGACTAACATGACATCAAAGCCTGTTAGAATACACACATTTTAATGCAGGAAATCACAGAATCAGCAAGTATTTACATTAACTAGTAATATAAAATGAAGTTGAGAATAAAACCTTGTACGCACCACTGGCGATACTGGATGATTATTCTCATCATGCAAAATCCCACAGAACATATAGCCATCTTTGATTTACGTTTTTTTCAAGACCCGCTAATAATCCTCAGAGCATAGATAGCTATTTTTAATTGGATTATGTATTTTTGCAGCTCTCATAGTACAGAACACCCTCAAAAATGCTTTTCAAACATTTCAATAATCCCTGTTGATCAACCCTACTATACCATCAACTAAAATCTTTTTAATCCAAAGCGAAACGCAGAAAAAATGAGAACTCATCATTTTAAGCGTTTTTTACATTCAGCCGTCCGTAGGTTTTTTTTTGCAATGGAAGTTTGCTGATGGGCGTAACAATGGAAAATATCAATCATGGACTAACAGGCAGCCGACAATCGGGATACACGTTTCGCAAATATGCATTTGAATGCTAAGGCCAAAGCACGTTTTAAATTTACGTCAGCTGAATGTTAAGGGAGATAAACAATATGTGTAAAGAACTGTGAAAATATTTCCTGCATGTTTTAGCTAATTTTTACAACAAATTTGACATAAAAAAAACGGATTCAGAAAAGCTTTTAAATTTTTAATAACAAAATTTATATCTGACTGTTCAGTTCAGTGTTTAGTATCTACTGAAGTCGCTGTTTTTACCTTTTTGTATTAAAGTAACTATTCTTGCCCCCATGCCATTTTTACTAGATCGGGATGTCTTCTCAGTACCTACTTCAACTTGCTGCATCCAAGATTTTATGGTAAAATTAAAGAAGATTTTAACTGACAAAACTTGGGCAATAAATTACCGTTCAGTTTATTTCGTAAAATCGATGAAACTTTTGAAAGAAGCGATCGTTTAATTCTCTTAACAGACTTTTGAAATTTTCACTTCAGGTCAGGAATAACTTAACTTTAAACATTGATCAATAAACCTCTCTTTGCTGTAACTTTCTAAAATAAATTAGGAAAACAAATAAGGAAAAGCATGTCCCTATGGCTGAGATTTTTCTCAGCTTAAAGGATATAGAGACTGAGCAAACTTGGAAAATCTACTTAACTTTAAAGCTTGGGATCCAAAAAGCGAATACATATATAAAGTTTTGGGCCTCTATTCAGAGGCTTTTAAGGGTATCGCTATAAAACAAGAATGGATTAAATACGCAACAGAGTAATTTTCCAGTTGTTATATATTTGATCATGCAACATTTTCAATACGATTAGGAAAGTTACAGTCTATTCACGTTTCGGATCCGCAGATTTGACACTAGAACGTTTAAGGTTTTAAATCGGATTTTTGTACTCCTCGATAGGCTAGGTACTTTGATAATCCGTAATAACTGCGATTGGCAAGCATTATGTCTGTCTTTTAATTTCTTTGCTGATATTATTGATAGAAGTCATCAAGCAAGGTTCCGAGATATATGAACTATGAACTTATCCATCGCTTCAATATTATAGTCTATACTATTGGGATATTTTCACCTGCATCTCTTGCCCTGGCCTGGTGACCGCCATACATTTTGTTTTACTTCCATTTATTCGTAGTTTCATATAATCTGCAGCGTTTTCGAAGTCAGCGTTAATGCTTGCGAATGATTTATTGGAAATAGTGCCTCTCGTATCAAGCTCCGTATCTCGAACTATTTTTCTAATGCTAAATTGAACAGGAGACACGCCAGAGCGTCACACTGTCTCACACGCAACATGGTGTCAAATGGGTCGGATATTTCATTCTGCACTCACTTTCGAGATTGTCATTTTTGTCAGGTCAACGAGAGTTTCATTTATTATCAATCAGAATACTTACATATCTAGCTTTAAAATCAATGAAGAAGTGGACCGTATCGATGTTATATTCCTAGCAATTCTCTAATCGATGTTATATTCCTAGCAATTCTAAATTTGCATTGGTGCGTGCTGTCAGTATGTGGTTTTTGTAAGCAGTATTCAATAGTGTTCTAGAGTTGCCTAATGCATATCAATTGGTAACCTTTTTTGTGTAAAGGGCATATTACTCCAACGTTTCACTGTTCTAGCATTTGTTTTTCATGCCACTTTTGAAATAATTTGCATCCTCTTCCAGCTTTCTACCACCGGCCTTGAGGAGTGATGGTATCTGTTTTTCAGAAATCTTATTGTTTCTTAACTCTCAAGGCATTCTATATTTTCTGTATAACTGGCAGTTCTACTAGGTGTTTGATTTATATTTCTAGGTTTTTTTGATCATCAGAGCCTCCCAGCAGTTCATATTGAAAATATCTTCCTTGTTGATGAGAATGTAACAATATATTGACTCCGGGTTCATACTGTTTTCTTATATTATTGACTTTCTGATAGAATTTTCTTGTTTCTTGTATACCTCTCGGTTCTTGTATACCTCTCTTATTTTCGCTGTTGCTTTCTCTGGTATGCTTGGTTCTTTCTGTCTGTCGCATCCTAGCATTCTTCATCAAAATCATTGCCTGCACATAACCCGATATGTTTTTGGCTGCTTGTTTTCTAATATCACTTACACATGGCCACGAAATACTTACTGATTCGTCATTCCTGGTGTTTAAGTTCTTCTGAATGCAGTTCTGGTATGCAGAACTTCCTGCAATTTACGGGTATTTGTATTATACCTAGTTGCTTTGATTGTGTTACACTTTCTTGCATTTCATATTGTCACAACCGCCTATTTTACAGGAGTGACATGGGGGATGTTACTTTGGGGTTTGATGGAAAGAAACTGGCTCAAGTAGTATAAAAAGTAAGTAGATATATATTTGCCAAAATATGTCCGTTACATACTAGGTATATCACCCTATAGGATGCATGACCCTTCTAACACTAGGGTCGTTATAGGGGGCAACACGTCAACGCTGCTTGGGGGACTGTCGGTTTATTCGCTACGCAATTGTAGCTAGTGACCCTTATGCCTTATCCAGAGGAGCTGCCCCAACTAGAGGTTGAAGGTTGAAGATACCCCAGAGTGGTTTTTCCAACTGAAGGTGTAGGCACTGGGGGACTTGAGTCCAGAGGGACGTTCCCAGGGTGGCAGTACTAACACTGGTTCAAGTTTGCCTTGGATGCGGCTTGCATTGCAATTTATATTCGTTTCTTCCTTGTCCCATCATAATTAACCAGGTTATTTATGTCCTGTGTTTTGTCTATTTGCAATAAACTCATTATTGAGTTCGTGTAAAGTGTGTTATTTTTCCAAGCAGGCTCATGTGTTAACCATATTCTTGCTCTGAGTTTGGCACCTAATTGGAATGTCTCATTTCTATGTTCAGTTCGCTGTTCGGCTGAGCATATGAATTTTTAGAGCAGATAGACTCAACGAAGTCGTTTTATATTTTTTATCGAACATTACCTAGTTGGAATGTCTCATTCACCCAACGAGGTCATTTTATATTGCATATTTTTTATTGAGCATTACGTAATAAACGGAATGACTCATTTCTTTGTTCAGTTCACTGTCAGGTTGAGCATATGAGTTTTAAGGGCAGATAGACCAGTAGAAAAGGGTCCCAATTTAAATAAAATGATCGATCATTATTATTATTACACAATAATATTTAGTTAAGTGTAGTACTAAGTTGGAATCAAATTATTCTTACTTTTATGATTTTCACAACAGCTGCCGTAAGAAATAACCTCTTTTTAATCCAAAGTAATTACAAGTTCTTGTACACTCTACTATGGATGTAAGCAAGAAGATAGATGAAAATTTTTCTTGTGCATGAGCATGACTCTGTCCTAAATCGATCAATTCAATTCAATTGTCAACAAGTCAGTACGATATGAGAGATGCATTCCGGTATAAAGTTTCCATGAAAAAAATGTCAAACCATTATCCTTTAAACGGTGCTTACGCCGTCGCCGATCAGTCAGTCCGGCTTTCTCTGCTTGAGTTTTCGTGACAATATTTTTTTAAAGAATAGGATGTTAGCCTATAGATAATCCCTTAGGACCACTTCACCTGCTATCCTCTATCCCTAACCCATCCTTCCACCCGGTTTTGTTACCGGATCTGCAGCTGGGTGGATCAGGTTAACAGGGGGCACTAGCGCAAATCGCTAACTTGAAGGAGAGAGTATCAGATTGGAGTAGTAGAATCTAAATGAGACTAGCAGATTGATAGCTTAAGTGTAGGAAATATTTGTGGAAATACATTTGTGTCTTTTATTTGTTGCAGGTCATGAGATCCAAATCAGAATATAGCTTTGTGAATCACGCGCTTCCACATGCGAGATCAAAAAGGAGTTTAACTCATACAAGAAAACTTAAATCAGATCCTCTGGTAAGTATCAACACACTTTTTTTCCAGTAAAAACAATCCATTATGGTAAAGGATATGCAATATTAAATATCTTTTCAGATTTCCACAGCAATCCAGCAACCTGGGTTCGTTAGAGTAAAAAGAGGTTACAAGCCTCTAAAAGTAGAAAATTTGGTGCAAAACATTGAGCCGCATCAGGATCCGACGGACCCGTATTTTCCTTACCAATGGTATTTGAAAAATACCGGCCAAAATGGCGGAAAAGCCAAATTGGATCTCAATGTGGAAGCTGCGTGGGCCCAAGGAGTTACTGGGAAGAATATTACTACTGCGATTATGGATGATGGTAAGTGATTTTCCTATCGTTAAAGGACTCCGCACACTTCTTATGGGATTTATGACCGCGGTCAAATTTAACAAAATTTTAGTATGTTTTAGATCTCACCTTTCTAATCAATAACTACCATGGGCACAACTTAATCCTATGTCTAGTTTTTGAGATACAAGTAGTTTAATGTCCAAGAAATTTACACATCTTCTATGTATTTACATCTACCTGTCACCTGAGTGTGAGGATACCTATCCATACTGGTACATTATTAGGTGACAGGTAGATGTAAATGCATATAAAATGTGTACAGGGTATTTGATTATATTTGGCACCATACCTACAGCCTTTACTATTTAAGATAGAAAAAAATTTTAAATACAAAACTTGACAGTTTTTTTCTATATTTTCTTTTGACAGTATCAGAAAAAACAAAATCGTATCGGAAAATGGAGAAACGTAGGCAACTTCTACTTTTTTCAATGGAACACCCTGTATATTATGCGATAAAATTAAAGATCTTTTCTTCCTGATTCCAAATATATATATACTGATCATATTTGAGTGAGTCGTTTTTGATATATCTTAGCTTAAATTTTAAATAAAATCCAAAGGAATTTTATGAAGATTTAAATGTCTTGACATCCTTATGAAATTTCTTTGCAAATTTAAGCTAAAATATTTCAAAAACGGTTCACTCAAATGTGCTTAATATATATGTATATGGAATCAGGAAGAAAATATCTTTAATTTTATCGCATAATATACAGGGTGTTCCATTGAAAAAAGTTGAAGTTGCCTACGTTTCTCCATTTTCCGATGCGATTTTGTTTTTTCTGATACTGTCAAAAGAAAATATAGAAAAAAACTGTCAAGTTTTGTATTTAAAATTTTTTTCTATCTTAAATAGTAAAGGCTGTAGGTATGGTGCCAAATATAATCAAATACCCTGTACATTTCTTGGACATTAAACTACCTGTATCTCAAAAACTAGTCATAGGATTAAGTTGTATCCATGTTAGTATCATTACGGTCATTTCTAGTTGTGGCCGTAACAAGCTTTACTTTTAGCGAATAATTACGCTTTTTAAGTACAATAACTGCTAAAATATGGTTTATCAATTGAAAAAAAAAATTTTGCCGAAAACTCTAAAAAACAATAGGATCGTAGAAAAAATAATTTTAAGGTTCACAGTGTACCATCAGCAAGAAGATTAAATTTTATGAAATTATCACTTACCAGTCAGTATATTTACTATACGACGCTAATAATTTGGCAAAATATTGGTTGTGTTGGTACCCCGACGGGGATTATTTGAAAAATTGCAACTGTGAAAGTGATGAATGGATCTTCAATCTCCTAGAGGATTTCCAGTATACCACAGGTACACCACTATTGAGGGATTTTTTTGCTTATTTATATTAAACATTATGAATCTGCGATTAGAGAGAACCGGGTTTATTGGACACCCTCCAGTTTCTGATCAGTTGGTCGATATTTGGAACACAAAGTGTTAGGTGTAACACCTCCTGTCTCACCCTAGTAACAACGGTTGGTGTATGCCATAAATTTAGTATATTTAGGTTCGTTGCAGGATGAATTCGAACAGTTGTTCACCTTTTTGGTTTTTGTCGGTATTTCCATATATGTTGTTGTGGGCGTAAGCGTTACATCCGGGTAGTTTACTCCCATTGAAGTAGGCACTGGCGCACTGGACTGCCTATCTCCAGCAAAGTACGCTGATGCCAGTACTGGATCGCAGGTGGTTGGTCGGTGATGAGTTTTACCTGAACGATAATCAGGTCCCGCGACGTGACTTCTAGAATGTTTGTTCAAGAAAATGCTTGCACTGGGGTCGTCACACCGAGTATCCCAAATTGCTACATTACTACATGGTAAACGCCTGATCTGCCCACCTTGATCCCAAGATTGTCTCTTGGATCAACACCACTCCCAAGTACGCCGCAGTTACCAACCTCGCTATGGCAGCAGATGCTCCTTTAGTGTGATGTGTAATAACCGGGGCTATTTTGATATAGTTCGCATTATATCACCTACTCTCAGTTTGCCTTCTGGTCACTGATCTCAAAAATAAATGGATGAACAAAGAATGCTTCTAATGCTGCTAATTTACGAGGTCATAATGTAAACAACTGGGACAGCTGTGAGCGTACGCAGTAGATACATGTACTGTGCGCACGCAAAATATTGTAAATGAAAATTAAGGATATTTCAAAATTTAGAACAGTTGTTCGAAAGATGAGACACTGTGCAGGCGTTAAGCTGTTCCGTTGCACAACTGTTCGTAGATCATTGACACCCAAATTTCCGCACAAGCGGTACGATTGTTTATCCCTTTATTTTTGAGTGCTTCTGGTATGGTGGAGTGCTGGCTTCCTTATGAGCCAGAAGCATCCTCGCTGGGGATTTCCACTGCTGTAGTAAGAATCTCTTTTTTTCCTCGGGGATTTCGTCCGCATTCTTCCTTCTGAACAAGATCAGAGCTTGAAACTTGAGGAGGTGGGGGCTGTTTCTTTTTTTCCTTTCTTCTTCCTCAAGTTGTGAACGGGGATTTTTCCGAACCGATTGAAGATATTGTGATCCATTATTCTAATGGATTTATAGGACCCATCGTCTATGCCGATGTTTAAAAGTTGGCCGTTGCCGTCTTCCTTACAGCCCAGTACCTTCCATAGTTGGGTGCGAAGCCCGTCGTTCTGGCTGTTGATCAGGTCAAGGATTTTTTAGGTGTTTTACCATTTGCTTGAAGTCTGCAATGGATTGCGCTCTTGGCATACATACCATCAGCTCCTGCATGCTTTTGCAGAAATGTATGCTCCTAAATTCAAGCGCCCTTTACCATTTTCTCTACAATGGCATCCTCTATCATTAATCATAAAGTCAAGTTTGGAAAAATACAATATGAGAAAAAAGAGCGAGGTGGTTGTAAAAGCGAGAATCTGGGTAAAAAAGTTGACCATATAGGTAATAACGAGTATTAAAGCGAATTCAAGATTATAGATGAAGATGGAATAATCGCACATAACCAATGACAAAAATCTTAGCATAAGCTTATGTAATATGCTAGGGTGATGCTTGTTTCCAAACTGATGTTTATTGGGGATGGCTACAGACAGAATAGTTATCCGAGCATACCAGCAAGAGATTCAAATAGACATAAGGTGTTAAGCAGCATTAAAAAGTATACCCTTGGCCTAACGGCCTTGTGAACTAAATATTTGAAATAAATCTATCGATAAACTACTTGTATCTCTGAGACCAGAAGTCATTTGGCTGCCTGGTCACTGTGTACTGAGATGATGCAGCAGAAGGTGTAGGACCGAATGCCAGAAAAGGGATCCAAAGTTGGGATTATCAAAATTTAGAAAAGCTCAATTTGCATGCCGTAGTTAGACAGTTGAGTTAAATTTAAATGTGAAGATTAGTCGGACCAGCAACAAATAGCTTGAAGTTTCACGAGAAGTGCAGGAGCCAGAAACAGCCAAATGGAATGAGAATGTGGTATGTATGCTGGGAGCAGAAACCAGCAACAGACGACGGCTTCCTTCGGTCAATGAAGGAAAAAATCCAAAAAATTGGAGCAATCGCGATTACAAGGCAACAAAATTCTCAATACAAATAAGGAGACACCCACCACAATTATAATGTTTAGGGAATCAGCACCTAAATCTTACCAAAGGATGCAAATCTCATCCACTTTACTTAATGATTAAGTTCCATCAAGAAAAATTGCTCCATCACTATCGGATCAATTGAAAAAATATCCCTAAAAGAGAATATTATTATTTTGGTCACGATAACGTATGCAACAGAAACCAATGTGACTTATCTAACACTGGAACTAGTAGAACACGGAAAACCAATGCCAAACCAAACCATCAAAGAATATTATAACTAACGCGTTAGCTATAATATTCTTTGCTAGTACTAGTGATGCAGGATTCTTATCAGGCAGGCAGAGTGAGTTATATACAATAGGTAGTTGTTCAGAAGTTAAATGAGCAAAATGATGGTGGGTAAATTACACAATTTCACACATTACTAGACTAGATATAGAAGTAACTGCAGTTTTGGTCAATGGTATTATGGTAATATGGTATATGTATGGCGGTATAGTATTTGAATGCAAATTTCACTCAACATAAACCTTAAATATGAAGTATTGCCTGAAACATCTTGGTTATGAAAGCTTACACAACGTATAAAGAAGTGAAGTGCATACAATATTGTCAATTTTTGTACGATATTGTTCTTTTAAGGGCAGGTATTATAATGTCCGGTTGACCGAAGGATGAGCTTCAACCTGAGGTTTACCGTACCTAAAGGTGCGGCAACCTCAAGTTGAAATTCAACCTTCAGTCAACCGCGGACATTATAATACCGGTCCTTAGATCATCATCAGTTCAGATGTTTCCTTGGCCCATCTAGATTAATCATTGAGGACAAAATTAGCGAAAATTAGGTTCTATATTTTACATCGAAGATTCAGCAAGTCTTATGTAAACGCTATTTAAAAACTCGTTTTTTTAATATAAAACCAACTTTGAACAAATTTGGGAACACCGGAACGAGTATTAAGAAAACCTTTAATTAAAATTGTTTAGAACAATATCAAATTAAAATTAGGGGCTAAACTTTTTAATACAGGATTATTCATCGGTTTATTGTTGGTACAGTTTTCTTTCTCCCCTTCTGTGTACAGGGTCATTAATTATAAATGCCCCCTTCAAACTTTTTTTTTTATTACTTAAAAGAAAAAGTGCCCCAAAAAAACTTTTGTGGTTGAAAACTATGTTTTTGAAGAACCTCTTTTCACATATACAGGGTGTTTCCAAAAGTCTGGGTATGGTCCAACTTTCTTATTTCAATTTGATACCCTTTTTTTTATTTGATATTTGGAATGTCCTAATCATTTTCTATGTATGCTACATAGAAAATCCTATACCTAAATTTAAT